CGGCAGCCCCCCTGCGGCTGGCCTCACCTGGGAGGCGCGCTCGGAGCCCGCCAGGTCGATCAGGAACAGGCGGCCCTGCCGCACCTCCTGCAGGAGGTTCTTGACCCGGCTGCGCTGGCGCACGGCCACCTGGAGCACAGCGTGGGAGCGCGAGGACGTCTGGTTGGCAGCCGTGGGCTCCTGGGTCCTCTGCCGATTGCCCTTCATCAGCAGCTGCATGATCTGGGGTGAAGGCAGGCAGCTCTTGGGGACCCATGGATGTGTGGGGCACAGAGGAGGAGCCAGGTCCTGGGGGCTGGGGGCCTGGCACCCCGCCCTGGTAGCGGACATCCGATGTGGCAAGTTGGGAAAGGCAGGTGGGGTGGGCTGGCCTCCATGTGCACAGAGGCTTGGCAGGTGGCCCCAGCCCTCTGGAGGGTGTAAGTGCAGAGGCCATGTAGCCTGGTCCCTTGCCCTGGCCAGTGCAGTGGGCAGGTGGCAAGTGGAGTGTCCCTCTTGCTGCCACTCTGGGTTCTTGGCCCCCAAACCCCAGCTGGGCGCCAGCCGCTCCTGCTTCAGCCCCCACCCCTCCTGCCCCTCATGTCCTCGGCATGGCCCTGGGTTGGCCGCACAAGACTTGCCTCCTTGGCATTGATGGTGGAGACCTCGGTGATGCCCGCCACCTGGATGACCCCTTTGGAGTCCTCCCGCAGCTCCAGGTACCCCAGGGCGGGGTTCAGCAGGTCCCGGATCATCTCATTGTAGATCTGAGGGACAGTGGGGGGAGGGGGTAAGAGCAGGAGGTCCAGGCCAGGACCTGGTCCCCGCCCTCCTGGACACCAAGGGAACGGGAGGTCACGCTTTCGGGGCCCCAGGTCCTCGGAGGGGAGCCTGGCTGGGGAGCGATCCGTCCTTTCCACGGCAGGGTGGGGGTGGGAGGCCTCCCACGGGGACCAGGGGGCTCCAGGCCAAAGTTACGCGGCTTCAGAACCCAGAGGACCCCCTGACGATAGGTGGGCAGGGGCAGAGCGCCTCCTGACGGCTGGACGCCACGGGCAGGTGGGGGAGCCCTGCCGTTTCCGGGTGACCTGCTGCAGGCAGCTCCGCCTCGCTGCTCTTCCTGGGCTGTCACCAGGGAGATTATCTGCCCCTCGGGAGCCAGATGGCGACCAGCCCGCTCCCGGGTCCTCGGTGTGCTCCCCCACCCCCTCCCATGGGCAGATAGGTTCTGTTTGAGGAACGGCCCTGGACTGTGGGCAGGGGAGCTGTCTGGGAGCTGCTGTGCCCACTGCCAAGGCTACTCAGAGTAGCCAATGGGCAAG